TGGGGCAGCTTAATTACCTCGGTTGTAAAAGGAGAGTACAAAAAGATGGACCCTTTTTCTTCTTCAATAAATTCGCTAACTTTGAAAAGCACCCACCCATATGAAGAAGCATGTTAGCATGATGAGTCAGCAACAATGGTGCCCGTGCTGCTGCGTATGCATGCTTTAGCTTGCATGGTGTTGTTAGTAAAGTAGTCAGGAGCTTCTTGAAGCTGTTAGTGGCAGTTAGGGTTGTTAGTATCAGTTGTGAAATCTGTTAGGCTTGTATTAGACATTAGAAGCTGTATATAAACCGCAGAAGTTTTGTATTCCATACTGTTAGGTATGGCTCATAAATATACCAGTAAAGAGGACAGGTGATTCTTGTATTAGACTACGTTTTTTTCTGTCTTTTGCTAATTTTTGGTTGTTTGGTTGTTATTTTCGTTTAACTGCAACTGTTGATTGAAATAACTTAGGACAAGAATCACCTTCTTGGAATCATTGAATTTTTGCCTTCTGCATCTAAAAATAAGACTCATAATTTTTCCGATTATCAAATCATAACATTTTAATGTCATTAAACCTATGTAATGTTGAGAAAAATCCGATAATTTTAAAGTTTTGAATGAGAAATTGATCCAAACGTTGTTGAGGAAATTGTGGAATCAATTGTTGGTTTGTACATGTGCCACGATGTAGGTAATGTGAATGTCCGCATCGAGTTTGCTCTTTGTAGGCTTGCAGATATTTTAACCTAAATGTGAAATATTTTTCTCTCAAATAGACCATATCTTTTCAAAAAATACATTATGTACCAGGGTTTTCTATTATAAATAGAGATGTAACCTAGACCTAAAATATCATTGAATAAAAACTTCTAGCGCCGCCTAGGCACCGAGGACGTAAGCACATTGCCGAACCTTGTAAAATTCTCGTGTTCTTTTGTTTTCTTTACCCGTTTTCGTCAACACATACATAGTTCTTTTCATAATCAATATACAAGTGTGATACTTTCTTTGTTGGATACTTGCTGCTAGTCTCTTCTTCATACTCACCTTGCCATTGATGGTCCCTTTCTCACAAAGCACAAGGTCGTGCATTAACGAAAACCCAACAAAACTTCATCGCCCAGGGGAGTTCACCAATGGCAGGAATATGAGTGTTTGGGGGCTGACCAAGTCTTGCAAACTGCTCGTATCCGGGTTCGGTCTACCCAAGGCAAACGTCCAATTATACGTTCAAGGATGTCGAGGGGGAGATCCGACCAACTGACCCCAGGTTTACCCAGTCGCCGCCTCTTTGAAAACTGTCTTCCCTCAGAATTTCTCGTACCAGTAGTAGTCATCTGTCCTGTTCTGGGATTTTAGAGGAAATAAGATAAGCAATAGTACTAGGAAGCGTAGGCTAATCAACGGAAGGCAGTAATGGCGGCAAGGGAACCAGACTGGTAAAGGGTTTTGACCAAACGTTCTCTTCAGACGAATAAAATACCAACGTATGAAAGCCTATCTTAATTTCTTTTAGAGAATCCACTACTTTTATTCAAATAGTAAATATTCCAATTAAAATAAAATTCATAATCATAATCATAAACTAAGCATATAATTAGTAAAATATTTCATAATCATTAAAACAAAACTAGTAACTAAAGATCACCTAAAGACCATACAAGATTAAAACCTAACCAAGAAACTCAAATAAATATAGATACAAATAGATATGATCGCATCGACAAACGAACCACAAAAGAAAATCAAGTTACTGAAAGACTACCGACAAACCGTGAATTAGACTAATTAATACTTTAATATCTATAACACATATAACATAATTGATCACATAGCTTTATGGTATACTTTATAATAGCATCATGCATTATACATTTATATATATCAATTTTCGTGTCATTTTCTATAGATCAAATCATTTCTTCTTCTTTGATTTTGTTTAGTAGGCAGCGGCACCGATTTTGATATTAAATGTCGATTGTCAGCAGTCTTTTCTTTTCTTTTCTTTTTTTAGTTTTTTAATAAGAATAATTTTAATTACCTCTACCTTTGTGGTACGTTTATCTCTACTTTTGTAGTACGTTTTTTTCTGTCTTTTGCTAATTTTTGGTTGTTTAGTTGTTATTTTCGTTTAACTGCAACTGTTGATTGAAATAACTTAGGACAAGAATCACCTTCTTGGAATCATTGAATTTTTGCCTTCTGCATCTAAAAATAAGACTCATAATTTTTCCGATTATCAAATCATAACATTTTAATGTCATTAAACCTATGTAATGTTGAGAAAAATCCGATAATTTTAAAGTTTTGAATGAGAAATTGATCCAAACGTTGTTGAGGAAATTGTGGAATCAATTGTTGGTTTGTACATGTGCCACGATGTAGGTAATGTGAATGTCCGCATCGAGTTTGCTCTTTGTAGGCTTGCAGATATTTTAACCTAAATGTGAAATATTTTTCTCTCAAATAGACCATATCTTTTCAAAATTTATTTTGAAACTAAAATGATAAGTATTAAAAGGTTACTTTAATCAAAACAATAATTTTGAAAAATAATTGATGCATGATTCTCATTAATGCTTCATTAGGTCAAAAATTTCTAATTGTTAACAATGTGAAATTCCTATAAATAGCCTGTAAACCTATTAGGCTAAATATAATTCAAAATAATTCTTTTCTCTAGTTTTTCGGTGATAGACGAATGTAAGAATTCCTATAACATACCTTTAATTTTACTACAACATTTGAATGGTCAATAATTATCAAATAATGATTATATAAAAATAATTTTCTTGGTATGCCATTTTGTAATGTCATCACTTTTGTACATGTGGTACTATCATATCGCATGATGTCATATAAAATTGTCACGTCATCTCAAGATATCGACTAGCTTTATTCATCTAGGAATGAATTATTTTGACCTAAAATGAAATGTTAAGAATTAAAGTACTCTAACAAAAATAGAGATTAAAGTGACTATTCAGTCAAACGTTAAAGACATTTTTTGATATTATGCGTAAATGATTTACGGTAGGTGAGCTTTCATCTTAGTCGTCAATGTAAATTAATCTGAATTGTTAATTGTAAGGTGACTCAATTATAAATACAAATCTTTACCATCTAATTTATATCATCTATTATTTCCAAATACTAAGCATTTACTCTAGAATCCTTTTGTTTTTCTTGACTTTAGGGTCTCTCTTAGTGATCTTGGTGTCTCTCTTTGATGTTTAACTCAAGTTCTTATCTAAGCTTTCAGTGCTTAGTCAAGTAGTTTTGCATATTAACTTGGATGATAGACTTAAATTTCATCGTTTAAGTTCGTGTATTTTAATCTTGTGACACCAAGTTTAAGATTATGTTATTTATCAATACAATCGTATCGTCTTCCAACTCAATCATATTAAATCTAGTTAAATCTAACTTAAATATAATCATAGTCCAATTTTACTTTTCACCACATTCTTCTATTATAAGTTTAGTCTTTTGTTGCTTGTTGTTTGTAAATCTCTGTGACAAGAAATGAACTTAAATTTTTGTTAACTAAATCATAGACTCGTTTTCTTTATAAGTAGGTTTTATTTTAACCCAAGACAAAAAATCAAAACAAACTATCCTAAAGTTTAGTAGCAGTTATACAAAGATAACAATTCAATAATTTATTTACCATATAAATTACTATAAACCTAACTTTATTAATTATAATAAATTTACTTACTTACAATGTTTCCTTCGATTTTTATCAGCAATTTTCACGTAAAACTCAATTGAAAATAAATTTATAACTTTGCTTCAAAATCATATCTTCCGTCGATGATCTTTTTGACAAACCAACAAAATTACTTTGTGTCACCATTGTTGTGATGAGAGAATAAATTTTGTGTCAGATCATTGATTAAGAATCTCCAACTGGATTCATTATTTATTTTTATAGTATTAACCAATATTTCATTGAAAATTTGTAATAGATCTGGAACAGAGTTAACTTTTCGATGTATCATCATCTTGACATCCTCAAAATATCAAATGGTACGATGAAATACGCCTACAAAACTTTATAGTCGATGCAAGATAAATGGTTAAAATTTTTCTTTGAAAACATGATTTTTTTTTTTACAGTTTTGTTGGAAAAAAGGTTGGAGTGTAAGAAGAAAACACGGTAAATTCTAGGAAAATTATGTTTATTTCGAAGTTTGTTTAGAAGGAATATGGAATAGAACTAGAATTCTAAGAAAAATGGTAGTTTTTGAAGAGAAATAAAATTATTTTAGAATTTTCTTTTAAAATTAAGATAACTTAAAAAAGGTATAATTGGTCTTCGATTCTCGCAGTAGATCTTATATTAATAAATCATTAATTTATGTAAAATTAAAGGAATATTAATATTATCAAAGTTTAACATGGCATTATTATTAGAATACAATGTTTGATTTATTGTTATTTGTTATTATATTATATTCCCAATTTTTTAGTTTCTTTTTTCTTTCTTGTTTGGAAAATTGCTTAAACTGCATAGTTGGACGGACTTTGGACCCTCCATTTTTTTAGTTAACTACTTCTTAAGCTTCCATTAGTATTGAAATAGATAAATTAAACCCCATTTTCTATTTGTTGGTTTAAATGTCCTGTCATGGAATTAGGCAAATCAACACATTTTATCAGTTTAAATACTAATTAGATGCTATCATGGGATTAAACAAATTGTGTTTTAAATCTTTTTTTGTTTAAATACTACGACAAATAATGCAATAAAACCCTTACCCATCTCCTAATCACCCAAAAAATGCCTTTGCTACACCAAAAAGGAATATACCACCACACCACTTGAAACCACAAAAAATAGCAACGGTTCCATAATAATAATAATAACAACTCGGAGTCCAGGCCTGATAAAATGCTCGCTAATGGAACCACGATTCTTTTTCCCTCGGAGCAGTAAACATGGATTGGATCACTCACTTGGTTTGGCTACACAAAAACCTTCATCTGGCACAAACCTGTTACGACTTAATAGCTTCCCATTGGTGGCATGCCATAAGGCGGCATTGGAGGCATTCCCATTCCTCCCATCGAGGACGACGGTGGTGGTGGTGGAGCAAAACCTCCTCCCATGCCTGGCATTGGTGGTGCGGGTAAGGCTAGAGGTAGCAACTGAGCGTACATGTTCTGAAATTGAAAAATGGACATTTCATATTATCGTTGAACTCATCAAAGATGTTGCTAATCTAATGAAGGGTAGTTATAAATATTTTTTCGATATAACGGAGTTGTCATTTCGACATTCCAAGTTGATATAATCCATACCTGTTGTGCAATCACTTCCTTCTCTTCTTTCTCTTTAGCCTTTACTTCCTTTTGAGCCTCGATCTTATCCTTGATAAGTTCATCAACTTTGCCAGTATATTCGCGGATAAACTGGAAAAAATAGACTCGTAAAAATTAATTCAAAACCAAAAAGAGTGTAAACGAGAAGGAACACAAGATCGAAGAAAGCATCAAAGCAATCACCTGCAACAGATATGGAAAGGCAAAGTCGATCATATTGTGAATCCAGGCTAGCTCAAGAACAACATCTGCTCGAATCAAGTCGTAACAAACAAAGAGGCACGATGCAAAGCATTCCTTCTTGCCCTGGAAAATGAACACGATATAGAAATTATGTCCAATTCAAAAGAAAACAACAATATGGCAATAGAAGAATCACCATAGCGCAATAGGAAAGCCTCTGTTAAGAACTTCAACAAATCTGATTTAAGACTTATACCATCACCCAAAGAGTAACAGAGCAAACTCATGTTATTAGGTCTACTGGACCGAGAAGGCCTAATGCCATACATAGGAATGAGTTTGAGCACCTGTTCAATGAAGTAAACAAGTAGCTCCTCGGCAAGTTCACGGTCACCAGACTGTGAAGCTGTTTCCATTGCATCTTTGTAATGGTCGTCTTTCTTTGATAAGGCAATGGATTGCTTCCATCTGCCTGCCTTCTTGTAAATGTATGCTGCAACTCGCCTCATCTCAAGAAGCTCATGTTTCTCGATCTAACCGATCAATTTGGAAACAGAATCAGAAACTAACCTAACAGGAAACAAAAAAAAAAGTAAGATCAGTACGTTACCTTCTGTGCAAGGCCAATCTGATCAAAATTATCATGCAAGTCAATAGATTCTCTCAATCTATCATAATCTTCTTCTTCCACATAAATCTCATTCAAAGCCTCGTTTACTGCCGCCACATTGTTGCTTTGAACAGCAACCATGTAGGGCTTCACAAGTCGTAGATGACCAGCCTGAAATTCCAGGAAACATTCGTCAACCCAAAATGAATTAAAATCAAACTAAAGTCAATACTATTGTTTTTCAAAATAGATAATTTTCGGCCAAAATTGAACCTTTCTCATAATATCAATAACGCGAGTGTGATCCACACGAAGTGCAAGCACATTCAGCATATCATTTATGAGGTCAGGGTGTTCTTGCAAGTAGAAGTGGACAGCCTTGTAATAAAGTTCAACACTAGCAACTTTGACAATAATATCTTTGAACTGCATATGATCCCATGCTTCAGGAGAGTGGTTCATCACAGTAGTTGCAGCATTATCAAACTCATCGTATTGGATGTATAAGTACGTAAGTTCCTTCCAATGCTGCTGTTCATCACAAGCTCTTATCAGCTTGGGAATATTCAGACGAGTAGAGAACAATTTAATGTGCTCCATAAGCTTCTCTGGACGATATCTGGCATACAGAACTCCCAACTCAGTAAAGATCCCCATATGTGCACGTTCAAGTCCTAAGCCACTCTCCATGAGAGAGATTAGCTCATTGAAGCATCCTCTGTTCTGATAGTACTCACTGACTTCTTCTAAATCATCCACCTAAAAAACCAACACACACAATGGTCAAAATAATCATGGACAAATGGTCTCCAATACACAACATAAGAAATAGGGAACTGAACATGCAAACATATCATCTACTTCATTGTTCCTAAAACTTATAATTCATCATGAAAGTAAACTCACCTGTACTATGATGTTAAGACCACATATCTGTGCCAATCGGAATTCCTCCGCATCAACACACGCAAAGCAAACCTCCTTCCATGTCTTTGCACTGTTTGCTTTTCGTGCTGCATCGACAGCACCTTGGAATTGTTTAAGTCTCACCAATGTAACAGCCAATTTGGCCCAGTTAGATATAAATGCAAATATTATTTTTGCAGCTTCATAAAGAGCTTCATCAAACAAGCGGTCACCAACATTTTGAAGATTAGCAACATTTGGCATGAGAATAAATTCTTCTATTTCACCAAGTCTATCAATCTTTGCATAGGCATAAATAAGTTCACTGTCCACCTTGGGTTCCTTGACCTTCTGCCTAACCATCAGAAGATACCTCACCAAATCATGGTAGACATCAGCATCCTCAGAAGCTCGGATAACATCAAGGAATTGAGTAGCATCATCGGCGCGAATAAATGATTCAATTGCATCGCTCACCAGCCCCTCCCTCAGTTGTGCCTTTGCAACCTGACTCCAAACAGCATCTTCTTCAACTCTGAATGCAAATTCAACGGCCCGATCAATGCTTCTAATATTATCCAATAATACATTGACAGCCTGAACATTTAAGTTGAACTTTTTGAAGATTGCGAAGGCTTCTTCATACAGTTGGGCTTCAACAGCCACTTCTCCAACTGCAGGTCCATCAAAATTATCTAACCTATTGATATAATCCATAACTCTAGATGGATCTGCCTTAATAGCTGTCAAAATAAGTAGATTTTGCAGATTGAAGTTCCCACTGAATGCAGAGTTTTGGAGTACAATCTTCTCAAGAAGCTCAATCAGCTCATGCGGCAGGTCAGCTGTCATGAAAGCTTTAACAGCTGCAGAGACTTGTTCAGGACTCTTGCTTTCTGGCAAAGCAGTCGATACAACCTGATCAATTAGCTGCCTTCTATATTCATTCTCAGGATTTAGAACCTTCTCCCAAAGATCACCATCCATCCTTTCAACAACATACCTGTGATCAAAGGATGATAGACAGATAAGCCACTTTAAAAACAAAGATCGAAAACATTATCAATTTATCATAAATAAATTAAATAACTACATACCTAGCCTGCAATTTAAACAAGGAGTTCTTATTTGTGACATTTATAAGTTCTTCGTCACATTGGCCTCTTCTGTAAGCCACAACTGCCAGGGTGGGATCACGCTTCTCACAGTACTTACCAACAACCCGAGAATCATAGTAAGGGTTGGTTGTGAGGAAGTGCTCTGGATTGTTATTGCTATCAATGATAATTTTACCCAGAGCATTGTGGACGTGCACATCTTGGCTTCCCTCACTCACAAGATGCTCCAAGAACTGTGTTAGTAAACGAAGTCGATTTCTGGAAATCACAAGCCGAAAAATGAGAATCGCATATTAATGATGGAAGGAAACAAAGACAATAACAGTGGATGGGTACCTCTTCTCACATTCCTCCACAAGGGGCTCAACTGGAAGCAAAGAACGGACAGAGAGAATGAGACCCTTTATAAAGTCTTCAGGACATTCATCATCTAGCAACTGCCCCACTACCAAAGGAGCATTCGCTGGGTTCACCTATCAACAGAAGCAAACAAGTTCTCAATTACTTAAAGAGTCTAAATTAAGATCATCCCGTCTGCCAGTAAATAAATAAGGCAGAAATATCACAAACCTTCTGAACATAACCTTCAATGTAACGGAGCATGTTATTTGTGTAGAGGTAGTGAGTGAGATCCGGAACAAACCCAAATCGATCACAAACATTAATCAATGGCCTAGCATCCGGAAGTTTGGCCTCCATCAAGAAGTTTTTCGTCTTTTCAGCATCATAAAAGTTTGATTCCCTGGTCACACGCTCAACCTCCTTTATTTGTCCAGTTTTAGCAGCAGCCTCAATGTACTTAAAGTGTATATCAGGGTCCTCACTGTCCCATAATCAGAAATAAACATCTTAGCGAGTTAAAAAATCACTGTCCTCTGAGTCATCAAACAAAGGAAATCGAGTTTATTGTGTAACTTACCTTGAGCTCAAATAAGAGCCCAAGAAAAAGTACAATCCTTCATATGACTTGAACTGCTCAAAAAGTTTTATGCAAGCATCAACACCCAACTGTTCACAATACTCCTTTGCAACCTGCACAGACAAAACTTAGCCTTTTGTGTTTTATAAAGAATTAGCATGCAATCAGGCAACATCCTTTACCTGCACAATTATTTGAAGGTTTCCTCTAAGATTAACTAGCAGAAGGTCCTTCATGCACTCCAAAGCCCATTCACGTGAGAGAGTACCAAAAAATTCAACAAGTGACTGAAACAGAAGTATTATTAAAAATATGTCAGGAGCTTCTACACTAATTTTACCCAGAGATAAAGATAGTGAACATGCACCTGTGGCTCAATAGCATGTGTATTCACGATCACACGTTTAATATCTGGAAGCTCAGTGTAATGCTGCAGAAGAGGCATTACATTTAATCAAGGATATAGAATTCGTTCAGTGCAGAAAATCAGACACAATACAACAAGTGTTAATTTTAACAAGATTACCTGCAGAGCTCGTACATACAGACCAGCTTTCTCGCAAAGTTGTGCAATTCGGGGACGATCATAATGACTGAACATCCCATTGGCTAAAATGGCATCAGCAACATTTGGGAAAGTTACAAGATTGATTTCCAAGACCTGCAGATAAAAGAATGTTAATAAAATAAGTATATTATTAAAAAATTAGATTAGCTGAACCAGCATTTTAAAGAAATAACCTTCGTTTGAAGAAAAGCATGCTCTGGCAGATTTGGTTTCAAAACATCTAATAGAAATGCAGTAGCTTCACGTATCAAGTTCCTCTGAAAATAGAAGGTAGAAATTCAAAGAAAACAATCTCATATATTTGACAGGAAAAGTGATGTTATTTTTTACAAACAATTCCACAAGCAGCAAACCTGAAGAAAAAGATCAGTAATGGTGTTGTAATCAACTGGACAGCCACCCTCCATTTGAGACATCATCAATGCAAAATTAACAGCTCCCTGCAATTAAAACAATTGCTAACTCATCCCAACCCAAAAGGTAGTTTTCTACTTGAAATTACACAGATCTGACCCCATCAAAAAGGCCATAATAATAACATCTATAGGTAGGCAAACAATAAAAATGCTTTTAATCTAACCAGAAATCATAATATTCAGAAACAGTGACATAATACCTAATAGGTTTTGAGGAAGGGATTTAACACATTTGAAAATATCTATCCATTAATCATATGATTTTACATGTTCTTAACGCCTCCAAACACTAAAGACCACAGGAAATGGAAACAAACCTGTGGATCTGTACGAAGAATTGTTTGCAGAAGGAACAGGTAGTCAGGAGTGTATCCAACCTGAGGAAACAATTCAGTTGGGAATATTGATGCATGCATTCACTAAAATGTAAAGAACAAGTGGGGAAAATACTCCCCCACTTGATAGGCATTAAAAAGGGAGGTCGGAGAGCATCACAATAGAAAATGCCAACGCAGAAAATCAAGGTAGCAGTCACCTGTTTTGAGTAAATCAAGATCTTGTCGAACTCCCTACGTTCAGCAAAAGCTGCAACAACTTTTGGGGTTGCCCTAGCTTTAATATATATTTTCAGGGCAAGATCATTATCCACAGTCTACAACAGAAGCAAAGTGTTAATTTAGAAAATGGCAAAAGAAAAACTCACAAATCAGACTCAATATTTTAGTGGGTATAGATCAAACCTTCACAAGGTCTCCCAGTTCTTCACTGCATTCCAATTTATCCTCAGCCAACCAATTCTCCAGAAGATTCTTCTTGTTTTGATTTACCACAAGCCGAGATAACTCCAATGATTCAAATGCATTAAGCTTCCCTTTTGTTAAAAGTGTACCAAAGTACTGCAATAGTGGTGGAGTCTGCCCAGCTTGCACAGGAACACTCTGCAAATACGGGTAAATGATTCTTCTTTAGATAAAATCGTCACAACACTGAAACAAGTATCTACATGATTAAGAAAGAAAAAATGAGACCTGAAACTTGGCAACTGTATCAGGAGTGCGAAGGATCCCTTGTGGAGACTCTGCAGCAAGCTCAGCAGCTTCTTTATACTTGGTCTGTGCAAATAATTCTTGAAAACGTTGGACAACCTGAGATATCAACAATCAGAGTCAACATCAAAGAACAAAATCATCTAGAACAATGATCAAAATTAATTTAACAGATAAATTGAATATCTTATATAGACATTACTGTTGACAAAGATGCAGCATCACTAAATCTAATCATGCAATAAGAAAACAAACAAACAAATTGGGTACTAAAGTGGATCAAGACAAAAGACTTCATGTTTCCAATCTCAAAATAGCAGAAAGATTTTTAACGAGGCCTTCTATTCTTATAAAAAAAATAGCAGAAAGATTGAAGACATCACATCCATAAAGAAAGTTGTCACAAAAGTATCCCTCCCGGTTAATATAGGTTATTTCTTCTGGATATTAATGTCTGACTGCCAGACATTTGATAACCAAAATTTGATAACATCATGCTCTTCTCCCTTGATTATAATCTTGATGCAACATTCACAAACCAAGGACCAGAAAATGTACAAATCAATCCACTCACCAAGTTCTCTGCACCAGGAAGGTTTCCCCTTTTAGCGAGATTTACAGCAAGCTCCAAATTGTTCAACTGAAATAGAAAACCAAATGATGTCATTTGACACCGTGTCTCATTTTAGTGAAACCAGAAAACAAAATGAGGCACAAAAACATACTTGGCCGCTAACAAATGGTATTATTGTTGCTTCATTTACAGTAGCCAGCAACACCTGACCTCGCCTGTTGATGGCATAAAACCCTCCGACTGCAGAAGCTTCAGAGGTTAAAAATATTGGGTCTGGACTGATTCTATTTCTGTATACAGCAGTCGCCGTCTCTAGATCATAAACAAACAGCAGCCCTAGTTTGGTGATAACATAAATCAAACTATATATGTGTGATATCTGCACATCAACAGAAACTTATATCATTTTTACTTATTTAGTACAAATAATCAATTGGCAAATAATATATACAAAATCCTGGATCTTATGCTACCTGCATTGCGACTGGAAAGTCATCTTGAAAATCTGGTGGAAAGAATAGATCTGCCTGTTTCTTTGAAAACGACGGCTTACCTATAAATATAAACATTTTATTAGAAGATTGGAAATATGACTAAAGGACACATGACAGAACATTATGGCTACTATGTTGATTTTGAGAATGGTTAATGTGTAACCAATCCTTAAACACGAAAGCATTAAAAAATCTAACTAAGAATATTCTTGATCAGGATTGATAGCTAAATATAGATACAAAATTCAATTTTTGGGACCTTACAAATATTACAGAGTAGTGACCCAACTTAACTTGCCAGAATTCGAAGCATACTCTAATTGGACTTTATATTTTTCCATCACTAGAAAGGATAATGGAAAATCCTTTTACTTCTTTTAGTATTCATTTAAATATACTATCAGTTTACCCTCGTATCTGACAAGGAGAAGGCAAGTTGCAACACAAAGAATAGCAAACTGACCTGGCTGGGCACCCAGCTCAATTACATGCAACTTAGATGTAATCTGGCCAGCATTAAAACTCTTGGTTGCAAATGAAATAAGAATAGAAGGATTCTCATTTCCTGGAACCTGCTCAGCAGAACAAAGTATACAGGATAAGCTGACTATCCGATCAGCATCTGTAGTGTGTTCTGAAATAATGTACAAGAAAGCCCTTTACCTTAAATTGTGCAAATGAAGCAGCATGTGCTTCGAGAGCTTGGCTGCGCTGCTGATCAACAGAGAAAAGTTGCATGTTCCCCTTAACCAATTGTGGCCTCTAAATGAAACAATACACATAAATCAAAATCTGAACTTTATAGTGGCAGCAGAGGTAGTTTTCAGAAGATAGAACTTATAACTAATAATGACTATGCAAGGAAAAATAATATTTCCAAAAGTAGAGTGATGGGAGGGTAAGGAAAAGAAAACTAAAATGGGAGTATCAAGGATGCAAACCCAAAATGATACCACAAGAGACAAAAGAAATTAATTCACAGAGCTCACTACAGCAGTTTGAACCATAGGAAAAATAACAGCCATAACAACCTGGCTTAGGGAAATATCATGTATATAATACTTCAAAAGCTCTTTATTCTTGCATACTACAAGATCTAATTGACATTTCTCAATTTTCAAATTCCCAAAACTTATAAATGAGGCATTAATACAGCAACCACATACCTCAGGTGCACCAGGGGCAATTCCAATCAAAACCAACCACTTCTCTGAAGGATCACATTTATAGTTTATTATCTGATTGTTCGCTAAATTAGCTGTCCTCTCAAACATCTTAAGAGGCTCAGAATCACCTGCCAGGAGTAGGATGCAATGAGGCACATAACACCAAAACAATTTACACAGTAGATAACACTCTAAATATATACAATTTTAGAACTGCATAAAGCACAGCTGTCTGTGATACTAAATGGTTAACATAATAACATCTAACCTTCAATTGACCAATGATACACGGAGGTCTGTGTGACCAGGCCAAGCATTTTCGGGCTAATCCATTTCCAAAATACAACCTGGGCATGAACCAACAACAGTTTGCTAAGCTCATGCAATCAAGTTCACTATCAACTATCATTGAGGAACAATGAATGTTGAGAGAAATTAACAGAAAATGGAACCATAACAAGAAAAATTAAAAAAATAAAACAGCAGATTTGTTTCACCTGTTCAGGCATCTGATGTGATTTCATTTTTGCTTTCATCTCTATGTTAAATATTTGCAAGTGATCTTGAAATGTTCCCGGTAGTTGAGCTATAAAAGCAATGTCAAAGCAAATGAGTATAAAGCAATTGAGAAAGAGAAAAATCAAAGGACAAAAAATGAAAGATATTGCACTTTTTCTCCTATTAAAAGTACTATCTTTACAAGTATGCCAAGCACATCATGACTAGCATTTCAAGCATATTTTTCTTATCTTATTGGACAGAAATTTGTAGTAGGAAGAAACTAAAATTCACTTATCACTACTAAGTGCTAAGTTGATAGCTAGCTGTTATGGAAAAACTAAAACAAAAAGTTGAGCAAATGCAGAAACCCAAGCAATATATACAGAAAACAGTGAGTAAAAAAATTACCAACTAAAAAAACTGTAGTAACACCAGGATGCCATAAACAGGGTGTTACAGCTTATCATATTCATTTGTTCATTTTAGAAATCAAAAGGCAAGTAGCTAGTCAACAACCAAAAGGAGTCTTTAAGTATAATTTTGAACAAGTTCCCATTACGGGGAAAAAAACACTACTACACAACTTGACTCTTGAACAAACAACATAAGGAAAAAGTTCAACAAGATAGACACAGAACAGAAATATTTGATACAAATCCTTCCAATAAATAATCAATTAAAATATAAAGTTCACATGATCCAATAAAACTAACTAAACTTCTGCTGATAGTTAAGATAATCAACCTTTCAAAGCGAGGATTCTAGAATTCGGATTCATAAGAGCAGAGTCTGCCGTAATAGGCCGTCTCAGCGGCTGCATTGGCATGCTCATATCAACGATCACAACACTATTCTGTGGCGCCGTTTCTCTCACACAAATATATTTTTCAGATTCCATAGTTACATTCGTGAATGTGATAAATTGAGGACTAATGCCAATGCTCGGCAACTGCAAACAAAACGATATCGTCTCAGATCACTCAAAGTCTTCACTATTTCAGAACGAAAACAGAAAGTTCCATACAGATCTAAGCTTGTTTTACAAATATTAGGCCAAACAAGGCTTAAACAAGAATTCGTTTAGCTTAACCTGAAATTGAAATGCATTCGCTATGAAAACCAATTGAATTGAAACAAAGAGTGAGTGAAACGAGAAGACATACAGTCAAGACCTCCTTCATGGAGATGGGAGCGTTGGCGGCCGCCATGGTGGTTCAGATCGACTGTTGAAGATTCACAAATCAGAAGCAGATCTTACGGCTGAGATCGAATCTTTTAAAACTGAAAGTCGAAATGGAACACTGAGAAAGAAACGAGAAAGAATAAGCCTATGCTAAAGAGATCTGATTCAGAGATTAAAAACAGTTGAAAAATCTTGGAGATCGAATTTTGTTGAAGAAATGGGAGAGAGAGAGAGAGAGAGAGAACATTATTATAAGGCAATCGATAAAAACAAATGTTTTTTTTTAAGAAAAATGAAAATCAAAGTAGAAACTAGAAAGTATGCGTCAAAAATGATTCGGGTAAAAATGATTTGACCCAAATTAAATATATTTTTAGAATCAGTTTGACGCAGCTTTGAAAAGTAATTTTTCAAGGTGTTATAAAAATAAAATTCTTAAATGTGTTATATAAAAATACATATTAAAATTTAATTGTTTGGAGTTATTGTTGGAAGTGAATTTAAAAAGATAAAATGTTCATTATAGAAATTATATTGTAAATTAAAAATATAATATTTAAATTATATTTACACTTATTAATAATATAATATATAAAATATATCAATTTAAACTATAATAAAAATATAAAAAATATTTTAAGATATCTCACTAATAATATTTTTATATATGAAATATTTTATTATGAAAAAATATATGATCAATACTTTTTAACATGTAGATATAAAATTATTATGAAATAATAATTTAAATACTTGTTTTGATGAAAAGAATATTACAAAAAATATTAGTAATTAAAATAAATTATTTTGTTAAGGATGTTAGTATTAAATTATTAAAATAAAATGTAAATACATAATTGAGTGGAGCCATGAATTATTAAAGGTAAAATTATAATTTGCTTCCAGAGTAAAGTTGAAACTAAAAAAGTTAAAAATCCTAACTTTTGCGATTGGTTTGAAATCATCGTTTCCACCATAATTTTTTTCATTTTTCACCCATTTGGCATAGATTTTGCGATCGAAACAGATTTTTCTACGTAAAAGTGATTTTAGAAAGCCACGCCAAACTAAGTCTTAGTTGTATTCTAGTTTTTCAGAATTTTGTCCTAATTAATTTAGACTAATCTATATGTACATTTTATTTTGATTAGTGAGTTTCTCAACAAAGACATTTTACATATACAATAACGTAAACTTGAAATATATTTTAATGATGTCTAATTACTTATCACTTGAATCAACTCATTAATAATACTATTAATTTGATGTATTTTATATTTTTTATATTATTATCATTATATTATATTGGGTAACATTATCAATTTTCAACGCAATAAAAATGTTAAATAATCGTATAGTAAAAATAATAAAATTCAATCATTTATATTAAATTAAATAAGTAATAAATTCATACGCTAAATATATACTTTCTACTTATATTTGAAACCTCTAAGAATAATAATTATTCTCTTAATCATTAATTCGTTTAGTTAATGTTAATAAAATTTTGCTTTTATTATTGATAGTGATATTTATTTTTTTTGTATATATGACTTATTTATATTATTTGTATCTACTATTTTAGTTATTAGTTTGCATATGAATCAAACGATTTTAATGATTAATAGATTCGTTATCATCCCTTGAAGTCCCGAATTCAAACACTATGTATGCTAAAAGTACAAGTCTTCATTATCAAAGGGTTGAGGTCTTTAAACAGATAATCGATATTATATTGTACTCATCCCATATTTATAAAAAAAAATACATGTATAATAAGTGATATTTAACCAAAAATAAAATTATTTTTCATTTTATCCTTACCAATATTTGCTCATGATTTACATATAGGTACAGCAACCATTAATGGGCTAATTTAACCATCAATACACTTGAATGGATTTACAGTATATATCAAAAGTTTGAATTCATTTCAAACATCTAAGTTATATACATACATAAATGCAGACATACATATATGTATATATATTGCAATATGAATGATAGACAAAAGACATGCAATATGGATTACTTCAATCAAAATGTCAACTTGTAGGGTTGACCATCAACATCTGCTACTAGTGTTCCACTATGAAATACTTACAGGGGGAACACATTGAACCCTAACGTGAACCTGCATCTGCAAACAAACACATTGCAATGTCCCATGTCAAGAGCCACTGGTTCCTGCGGTTTTATGTAGGATAAATGGATGAAGTATATTTCCAAAGTGTTGTAACTGGTATAAGAGGTATCTTCTAGCTTTTGATTACGGTGAGAGATTCGATTCCGGTTTCCTGACCATCGAATTTGATCGGATTGTTTTTCTCCTCGACGAGTTAAGAAGCAAAATGTTGTAGAGGAATTATCATCACACTGACGTCGTCGAATGAGCCTCTCCATGACGATAATTCAACCAGCTCCTTGCAAGCCGAGAACGGATTAGGATTATGGAGGCCGACGCAGAAAGGCCGAACTAAATCGACCGACTCTTGATTTGTAACCTGAAAAAGGCAACAGAAATCAATGATCAACTTAACATTACAACAATGGGGTTCGAAATTTATCATGTCAACGATAAATATAACAGGGGCTATCGCAGTCACGGACCGCTATTTAAATCCCAGCAACGATGTTACCTTATTCCAAAGACCATCCGAGGCAAGGATCAAAATTTCACATTCGGAGTTAATTTCCAACGTCTTCGTTTCGGGTTCAGCTATTACCCATTTTTTAAAGATGTTTATCACCAATTGATCTTGAAACAGCTAAAGAACCTTGAATTATCCAAACACCGTGGCAACGATCCACATAGCCGCCCTACAAAATTGAACATCAGATCATCATTCTTTTCGTCTTCATTGCATTGAATTTGAGCTAAAGATGAACCAAGGGAAATTGTTTATTTACCAAAGCTTCAATTTTGTCTCTCTCGTCTTGCCTCGAAGGATGATGATCGGACGTTAGAGCCTCGGCTACACCATTTCGGCTCAAAATGGCGCGACAATCGCCGGCATTCGATACGAAAAGATTGCCTTTACGAATCATTGCCGTAACACAGCACGTACCACCACTCAGATCTTCCTTTAGCACATCCGTATCGGTGGTTAAATATGCCTCTCTAATTGCATGATCAATAGCGGCATCTTCATCTGTTTTTGATACCTTTGCCATTACCTTCTTATCCAAAGTTTTTGCCACGAATTCAGCAGCCTTTGAACCTCCATGTCCATCATAAACTCCAAAGAAAGCCTGCAAAACGAAAGAAAAACAAACCTCTAAAATTCCAATTCTGCAATGAATAAATGGGAAAATTACACTTTTAGTCCCTCCCAAAAGTTTATAATGCAATTTCAACCTCTTTATAAAAAAAATCCCGAAGATTTGTACTGATTCTTAGCTTCTACCTTAAACTATGCATTTATGTGAAATGCTAGAGAAAATTCGAGGGAAAAATACCTGTTTGGGATCTCCGTCAAGATCAACGGCAGCATAGTAACGGTCTTCCATTTTCCCTCTACTCCCTCTCTTAGAATAAACAGAATATCCTTCCGCTTCCACCCGCACCTCCTCATCTCCTCTAGGCGTCCCCGCCGAGAATCCCAGCTGAACCGCTATCGACGTCGGTATTTCTATCCTTCCCGGCCTCTCCCCCTTCAGCAAAGACGGCTTCGCCTCGGCTATGAACGGTAAATGTATCTTCGGGACGCAAATCGACAACGGTTTCAATGGCGAAGACGGCGATTGCGATGTCGTCAAGGAGGTCGACGAGAGTTGACGAGGCGATTTCGTGGGTGAAAACGAGACGGAGACGATGGCGCGTGAGAAACGTGGATCCGAGGAGATGAATGAAAAGACGAACCGTCCGATTTGCAGTATATTGAAGGTAGCTTCTTCTGCGAGAAGATGGGAGACGTCGGCATCAGTAGAGACAAAGACATTTTCGTATCCTTTCCTTTCTTCCCTTCTGTTTGGATAGAGCGGAAAGAGGGAGAGAATGCGTCCAAATAAGTGAAATAACTCAATTCCCACCTTTTGAAACTGAACGTGTTTTGAGAATCCTTTCAATGGCGTTTATATATAGGCGGGAAGAAGGATAAAACGATGCCGTTTTTGAGTTGGTGTTGGACTAAATTTGTAACTTAATTTGGGAGAAAACCGCCTTTTCCTTTTGTGATGGCGCGTAGGTTTTCCATGGCGCGTGATTTTAATATATCATAAACTAAAAAAATGGGTAATCTATAAATATAATCATTTTCCTTAAATAATTAAAATATTAATCATAAAACTCATTTTTTTATTAAAATTAGGTAGTTTGTTAATATTGGTAATTAACACATAAATTAAATAATTTATGAACGCATAAATTTATGTCAAGAAATACAAATATAAAGTAATTATATTAAAATTTTAAAGAATGTGAAATTATAAAATCTTAAGGATACGAAATTAAATAATTTATATTAAACATAAAGAAAACTAAAGTATAAAAAGTTTAAAATTTTTAGGGATGTGATTACACCCAACAACCTTGATGCATCTCTGTCTTGTGACAATCCCGAACCTATATCCCGTCAATCGATGTTCTATCACTGATCAACCCCTCCCCCCACCTCGCCTATATAATAATCATGCTCCCTAATGACCTTTCTTCAAATATCTCCATTCCATTCGCAGTAATATTGCAAGGAAAAAAATAATGGCGTCAGAGCAAAGAAATGAGAAATGCACAACAAGAGGAGGAAGAGGAGCCTGATGCAAGAGCTAGGCAAGGGGATACAGTTGTTCCCGATGGTATGCGCGACATAAACTCGGAAACCCAACTTAACCTAGATAAAGGGAGGCACAAAGGAGAAGAGCTAAGGATGCAACAAATAGGGACATGATGGTACCAGAAAATGGGTCGAAAAGGCATTATAAGCAACTCCGACATATTCGGTGGGCAACTTGCTTGTAATGAAGGTATCCCCATTGAAGAGTCCAAGTTCAGGACCAGAAGTTGAATCTCTAACAGAGACGTACTGAACATTAATAATTGCATGATAGTTATGAGATATTTGAGTGTTTATTGTGAATTGATTGAGAATTTTTAGAAAAACCAATATTAATCTTCCTAAATTAATAAAAAAAAATCCTTGTCTATGATATACATACATACATAAAAAATACAAAAAAAAAAAGAATACAATATTTTATTTGAAGGTATAAATTATTTGTTAAAAGAATGATCAATTTAGGGGTTTCAAGTCAAGGCTAATCATAGATGTGCTTGAAGAAAATTACTTAAATTTAGAGATATTTGGCTCTTATTGGTAATCTGCAGGAGGGGTATAGAGCAAGAAGGTATGGGAGTTGTCTAAGCACACACAAGACAAGATGCCTTGGTTCGGAGTTGTTTGAGGAGGATTGTCCATTCATTGACAGGCCTTTATCTCATGGCTTGTGCTGCAAGACATGCCGCCAACAATAATAGAATGTTAAGATGGGATTGTCTAATTAACTCTCGATACTTGTTATGTAGGCATGATTTGAAGACGCGTGATCATTTGTTTGTCGAGTGCTATTACTTTAGACAAGTGTGACAATTAGTTATACAAAGCTTGTGGGTGTTCTCTTGCTCACGACTCTTGGATGATTTTGATTGATTAACTGTAGAAATTTGACAAGGGGAAGTCTTTGTGAGCTACTATCATTGATATATCTTGAAATGTTATTAATTACAACATTTGACAATAAAGGAATAATAGACAACATGATAAGAGGAAGTCTAAAAAATAATTAATATTTTTTTTATAAAAACATTTTAATTCAAATAAATCGTTAAGGATTATTTAAAAAATAAAAATAAAAGTAAGCATTTGATGAATTTACGGACTAATTTTAATATTATGTCAAAACTTAGTATACAGCCATAGCAGGATTGATCCTATCCCGACAGTGGATTGCATTGCTCTGTATCCAAACAGAAAAACCTCTAGGGCTTCAATTTTTTTGTTTACAAAACAAAACAAAAAAAAATCACAAAAAAGGGCGGGAGATGGATCCATAGATCTTAAACCCCGATTCCAAATGTAATACCATTTTGCTAACTCATTTCTGTTCTCATTCTTTTCGCTCACTGAACTAAAATTACTAATCCCCTCACCGAGTGGACTCATTCTTCAAAGGAATGCCTGTTGGCGTTCGCCAACTCACCGTACTCGGTGAGTTCAAGCCGTTCGGATTAATTGCCGAGGCACTTGACGGAAAACCGCCAGATACTTCGACTGATGATTACGATTATTTCCTCTTCGACCCAGTAATCGCGAGGCAACGTGACGATATTTTGGATAACGACGCCTTCGCTTCAGCTCTCAGTGACCGCCGCGAGCACGAGCTCTTTATTCGAGGCAACCGGTAAATTATTTCACCTTGTATAATATTCAAGCAGTAGTTTTGGATCGAAGTTAGCTACTTGTTACTATTTTTTCTATTTACCGATAAAAATGACCATAATTTGAGCTCAATTTAATTACTTTTTCACTTGCCTGCAACAGTATAATTTGGAGTATTGGTTCAAGAATTTTTAAGAGATTCACTTTACCTTCTCCAGTCATCAAGGTAAGTATGCTAAATTGTCATTGGGTCGTGAAATTGAACGCTTTACCAGTGTATGGAAAATAATATCACTGGTGTATTTTGCTCGTTTTCACTGAAAGAATTTTGCTTCGGCAAACTTTTTACCTTAATTCTAGGCATGCTGGTGTCGTGTGGGTGATAATTCCGAAGCCCTTCTTTGTGTCTTACTAATTGATTCCATAACGATCTACACTACATCAGGTAAGCATTGTAGATAAACTCGTGAAAGTCTATTTTCAGAAACTCTCTCTAGCTATTGCTTTGGTTAGCATAAGTAAAGATTTTATAACTTATTTCGACTAGAGAGTAGCTAATACCATATTACTGGACTGGTTTATTCGTTAAGGTTACTTGTTTTATCGAGTTCATTTTAGCTTATTGAACTTCAACTCTGATTTCTTATTCAGAATGAAACTGATTTTCCCAATTCTTTTGTTTTGTGCAACAGGTGAAGTAGTATCCATTCCGCTTCCTTGTTCCATTATATCTATGTGGTCTCTTCCGTTTGGACTGTTACTCCAGCAGGTGGCTGAAGAAAATTCAGTACTGCATGGCCCTTTTCCATATTCAAGCCCATCACTAGGTTCACATGATATAATTCGTAATAGAAGAGAAAGTGGGCACAGCCCTCATCACAATTTTAGTTTTCTGACCGCATATGATCAGCTTATTAAGGGAGAATCAAGCTTATTGTCATCGCATTTGATTCTGAAAGATCTACTGGAAGAACCACAGGTTTGCAATAGAAGGCATCTTATTTTGATATTTTACATAGGTTCCTTTTTTTTAGATGCTTATGTATACTTGCAATTGTACATTCAGTAACATTGATTCTGAATTTTGAGCCTTTTGATTTTATATCTAGAGTTGAAAATTGTAGGTGACTTGAATTTTGCAGTCAATTTACATTGAAGAAAGAGGAAAACTGAACATAATGAGGGATTTTGATGAAAGAACAATTTGGACTAGTGATGTTATCCCTCTAATGGCTTCATATAACAAAGGTTTTGCATTCAACTTTCGTTTGTCTAATACTTTTTCCTTATTTTTTCCCTAAAGGACTGTGGGTATGCTCTATCTAAATAATTTATTTATGCTTTTGTCACTTTGCAGTTAAAATGCAGCATTCAGTTTGGGTTGCTGAAGTAATTAATTCTAGCCTTGAAGTGGAAAATGGTAGTTTATCTGCTACAATTCCTGCTAGTGTATTACCGAAGCGCTTCTTCTTCCGTAGAATATGGCAAGGGAAGGGTGCTCAAACAGCTGCTTCTCAAGTACTTGACCCTTTTTTTCCCTTTACAAGTGTTATCTATCTGCTAACCTGTTATCAATAGCTATTTTTGATAATACTTTTCTTTTTTCAAGTTGGTTAATTAGGTGTGCATTGTAAAATTCTTGAACAACTTCAGGAATTTTTTTGTTTATAACACTTGATGACCATTTGCTAAATTATAGATAGAGGCACCTTGAAAAGCTTCGGCTAATATTTTTGATCCAGTTAAGGGTTTGGTAATCAACATAGAAAATCAAATTGGGTTAGATATGTAGGTGCCTAGCCTACCTGCTTCTTTCTGTTAAGAGATGAGAAGTTGGTCGTGCCTTTGGTTGCCTAAAATTCTTAGTATGGTAGTCCATTTAACGCATTTTAGGCTCCCATATATCTTTAAAAGTTGGACGGTATAACTTTGGATATGCTAAACAATGTGCATTTCATATGTTCAACTTGTGAAAATCCCTTGCCAGGATGTAAGGGTATGGTAACTTTGGTTAGTATATCATATATGAGCTTCTGTTTGACTTCTCGGGTTTTCCAATCCCCATTAATGGTTATGAAATTGCATTCATGTAAAAGTCTTTGTTTAATTCTGTTCAAGGATTTTTTTTGGATGCATCCATGTATAAAGTTGTCATCTAATGCACGATATTGAATATTCTTGCTGAGAGAGGGTGTTAGAAAACATATTCCTAAATTAGAAATATTATGTAGGATTATGTGAATATTCTTTTATAGTTATAATCCCCAACTTTAAGGGATTGTATCTTTCCCTAGAATTAGTTACTTTCCTAGTTTAAGAGTTTCTTAAGTTATTGTGTATAAATATGTAACAAATCCTATAGGATAAAGATAAGTTTTTATAGTGAATTACTCGACTTTTAACATGGTATCATAGTTGTTTTAAGCTTATTTATGGGTCTTGTAAATCTCGGTTTAGCAATCTTTTTCTTTTCCTAAACCCTTCCCTCAAGTGTGTATTGTTAGCCCAATAAAAACATGGTTGAGGTGGTCGATACCAGCAGTTTTGGATTTATTTAGGGAGGCACAATGAGTAAAGGAAGTTATTCTAATCCAATAGGTGATTTGCAAAATATACAAGCTGCTATAAGTTGAATGGAAAAAAAAACTACCTTAAATGGTCTCAGCTAGTTCGTACATTCCTAAAGGGTAGAGTTAAGTTAAACCATCTTCTTGGAACTGGACCTAAGGAGGGAGATCCTAGGTTTGATTCTTGGGATGAACAAGATTCATTAGTCATGTCCTGATTATGGAATTTAATAGTGCCAGAGATTAGTGATACCTGGCATGTTTCTCAATACTGCCCAATAAATATGGGAGGCTGTTAAACAAACTTACTCAAAGGTTAAAGATGTTGCCCAGATTTATGAAATCTTCCAGATTTATGAAATCAAGAGCAAGATTTCATCCACCAAGAAGGGAAGCAGATCAATCACCGAGTACTCTAATCTACTGCAAAATATTTGGTAGGAGATGGATCACTACTAGTGTATCCAAATGAGGTGTAGTGAAGATGCAGTAGCCCTAAAGAGGTTTGTTGAAAAAGAATTTACGATTTTCTTGCTGGACTAAATATTGAATTAGATGCAGTGAGAGTCCAGATTCTTGGAAAGGAAGAATTGCCCTCACTAAATGAAGCTATTGCAATCATTCCTGCTGAGGAAGGAAGAAGAGGAGTAATGATTGAAAGCAACCAAGTGGAGAGTTCAACCTTAGTCACTAAAGTTGTAACCAAGAGGAAAGTTGGTTTAGAACAACAGATTTCTAAAGAAAATAAACCGAAGCAACAAAAACAGTGAATATGAGCTCTCTATGGTGCACCTACTGCAAGAAACCTCGCCACACAAAAGAGAAGTGTTGGAGATTTCATGGAAAGCCACAAATAACAAGTAGAAATTTTCAGAAAAATAAGGATAATCAAGGGGACAAGGAAGAGCATATACAACCAAACACTTAGTTGAGGACTGTCAAGAACAACTTGTTGAGTTCAACAAAGAAGAAATAGAGAAACTGAAGAACTTGCTAGGGTCACTAGAAAACACTCACTCTACAAGTACACGTAGTCTGGTTTTCTCAGATATGTCCTCTTTTCAGGACTCTAAGGCCTCGGGTTTATCTACCCAAAGTTCCTGGGTAATTGACTCAGGAGCTACAGTGTAGAAAACAGACTGTAGAAAACAGACAAGTCTGTTATTTTTATTCTTGTGTACATTCAGTAGAACATATTACATATTTATATACAAATTATGCCTCTAAACTAGGAAACTCTAAGAAAGGAAACTAATCCTAGGAGATGTAATCCCTTGAAATAAGGGATTGAAAAAACAGAAAATAATTACATAATCTCTTAACTTAAGGGATTGACAACTCATTTCTATAATTCCTACACTCCCCCTCAAACTGGTGTATATATGTTTTATATACCCAGTTTGAATGACATCTCATCAAAAGTCACTCGTGGAAGGGCTTTGGTGAAGATATCTGCCAGCTGTTTCTTCGTCGGAATGTACTGCAGTTTTGCAACTCCATTGTTGACCTTCTCGTAAATAAAATGCCTGTCTATCTCAATGTGTTTCGTTCTATCATGCTGCACTGGATTTTTTGCTATACTCATAGCTGATTGACTGTCACTAAAAATCTCAAAATTCTTCTTGTCATCTAAGTCCAGTTCTGTGAGCAGTCTTTTAATCCACATTCCTTCACATATTCCGAGAGCCATTGCTCTAAACTCTGACTCAGCACTACTTCGAGAGACAACAACTTGTTTCTTACTTCTCCAAGTCACCAAATTACCCCAAACGTAGGTACAGTAGCCACTAACTGACCTTCTATCAGTTAATTCACCTCCCCAGCTTGCATCTGTATAAACCTTCACTGTTCTGTCTTGATTTTTTCTAAATATAAGTCCAGCTCCTGGGGTAAATTTCAAGAACCTTAAAATTCTGTTAACAACTTCCAAATGTTCTTCTCGAGGATCACTCATATGTTGGCTGACAATGCTCACTGAGTATGCAATATCAGGCCTGGTCAGTGACATGTAGATTAACTTCCCAACTAACCTTTGGTAGGATTCCTTGTTTACTGGATTTCAAGTCCTCTCCTTGCAAAATTTCAAGCCTGGCTCCATTGGAGTTTCAACTGGTTTGCAGTCGAGCATCCCAGTTTCTGCAAGAAGATCCAAAACATACTTACGCTGGTTTATGACCAGCCCTTCCTCGGACCTTGCAACTTCCATACCCAGGAAATACCTCATACTCCCTAAATCCTTGGTTTCAAACTCCTTTGCAAGATTCATCTTTAGCTTTTCTATTTCTTCTATATCACTGCCAGTTATAATCATATCATCTACATAGACAATTAGGAGGGTTATCTTACCACTCGGTGTAATTTTTCTGAATAATGTGTGATCTGCTTGGCTTTGTTTGAAACCATTCTGTGTCATAGCCTTAGCAAATCGATCAAACCAAGCCCTTGGAGACTGTTTTAAGCCATATAAGGATTTATTGAGCTTGCACACAGTTTTCTTAGTGACTTTTCCTTCTAATCCGGGGGGGACCTCCATGTATACCTCTTCTTCAAGGTTCCCATTCAGAAAAGCATTCTTTATGTCCAGCTGATGCAATTTCCAGTCCATGTTAACAGCTGCTGATAACAATATTCTGATGGTATTCAATTTTGCAACCGGTGCAAAAGTCTCCTGGTAGTCGATGCCATAGGACTGAGAAAAACCTTTAGCAACCAGCCTTGCCTTGTATCTTTCCACACTCCCATCCGAATGATATTTGACTGTGAATATCCACCTGCATCCAACAGCTCTCTTCCCTTTTGGCAAATCTGTCAAACTCCATGTTTTATTCTTTTGCAATGCTTTTATCTCTTCTTCCACAACCTTTTTCCACTCAGGAGATTGAAATGCTTCTGTCACATTTCTTGGGATTTTCACAGTGTTAATACTGGCAGTGAAGGCCCTGAAATTATACTGTAATTTCCCATATGCAACATACTTATTTATGGGATGAGCAGTGCATTTTCTTACCCCCTTCCTAATAGCAATAGGAAAGTCATCAAGATCAACAGTAATAGCCTCTTGGTAACCATCATTACCTTCTGTTTCAGCTGCAACAGGATCCGAATCTGGTTCTTGGCAAATGCTAGGCTGACTGATTTCTTCAGCAACATCTTTCCTTCTTCTTGAGTAAACACTGAGTTGTTTCGGTTGGGGAGTTATGGTTTCAGGGTCATTGTTAGGTGCATTTTTGGTAGTGGTGGAAGGTGTTTTGCACGGACTAGAGTGCTGAGATAAGGAGGAAGGTAATTCATCAGAGTTATTTAGGTTATTCCCATCACCCTCCCTAGGAACTGGGACAGTGCTAGCCGGTTTTGGAGAGACAGTAATAGGTAAGGAAAGGATAGGTTGTAAAGAAATATCGGTTTGAACATGTTGAAATTCCTTGTAACTAATAGGCTGTAAAGAAATATCGGTTTGAACAGGCTGAAATTCCTTGTAACTCTCCCCCTGAATTTCTGTTCCTGAAAAATAAGGTTGGTTTTCAAAAAATGTAACATCAAAGGAGTCATAAGTCTTTTTGGTGGAAGGTGAGTAACACTTGTAACCCTTCTGACTCGAAGAATAGCCCAAGAACACACACTTTATGGACCTAGGATCTAATTTCCCTCTGTTGTGGATATGAACAAAGGTTGTACACCCAAACACCCGAGGAGAAAGACTTGAGTTTAAATGTTTAAAATGGGGATACAGCTGAAACAGAACCTTAGTAGGAATTTTGAAATCTAAGGTTTTACTTGGCATTCTATTGATGAGGTAAGTGGTTGTAAGAAGAGCTTCACCCCAAAGATACTTAGGAGCATTAGCAGCAAACATAAGAGACCTAGTAACCTCTAGAAGATGTCTATTTTTCCTTTCTGCTACCCCGTTTTGTTGAGGTGTGTTGACACAAGAAGTAAGGTGAACAATGCCTT